CGATTAGTGTCGGGCTTGCATTTCAATGAGGTTAAGAAATAGATGTGAATGCTGATAAAATTGGGAGTAATGAAAGAGCTCAGATGAACTTACAGCTTTCAGATCACTTCTGATTGGGGAAGGTAGGCCTAACGACATCAGCAAACAAACCACACAATACGTATCTCTGGGCTACAAACTTCTTCGAAGTGCCTCGGATGAAGAGGTTCCCTTCCACAAATTTGAGGAAATTTTAATATTGGAACATCGATAACTTACTTAAATAAACCAAGAGAAAAGAGTGTTTGCAATGGCTGCTGAGGCTACTGGAAGGGCATGTTTGATATCTAATACGTTACCTGAAATGGCTTAGAAAACCAAAATTGTCATTCTGACCACACAGATCTCAAACAAAATCTTAATACCACCTTTGCTGATGAAATGCTACTCTCATTCTTATTAAAGCCAGAAAGTGACAAGAAATCTCTTTATCAGCATTACAGTCGAAAGGTATCTGTGAATATTTGGAAATTAAATTTTAAAAAGATGTAAACGCTAAACAAAAAAGAGAACCTAAATAGTTTTAGTTGATCTGATTGCACTGAAATGAGTAAATACCTAGGACAGCTTTATCTTGGGAAACTTTACACTCTTAGAAATAAACAGGAACCTTAGCAGACTCTAAGCAAATGCAACCTGAAGTCAGGCATGGCTTTTATGTTTGTTTGTTTGTTTCTTTGTTTACAACTAGACATATTTGCAGTGTCTATTCCAGATATAGTAGATAGCAAGGATTCTGTTGAGTGAATGAATGAGCCATATTTTCAATCTTTAGGTAGTAAGAATGGTGGGGGTGGGGTGAGAAGATAAAGGAGATGACGAATTTAAATGAGAGGTGGTAAGAAGTAACCGAATACAGTTTTCTTCAGCACCAGGAAAATTACTTCAGTTGCATGTCTTTTCTCCACATTTTCTTATGGACCGTGGTGGAGCGTGTGGATCCCCTGCATTCAAGAAATGATCTTGCACTTACGAGTTTTGGGACTCTGTGCTCTGTGGATCTGAGTTGCTTCTGTAATAAACTAGGTATGATAGCATTGTTGTAAACACCAGATAAAATACTAAGTGTAAAAATATGCTGTAAACTAACAAACATTGTATAGTGCTATGGTGATATTATCACAAATAGGACAGTACTGCTTTCTCTGCTGTTGAAATAAAAGACCTGATTAAAAAAACACACAAAACAAAAACAAGTAAATAAAGAAAGAGGAACCACCGAAGCTGTGCTGTCAATAACATCTGCCAATATTTACTGTACAAAATATTAAGACAGAAATGTTCATATGTATTCCAGAATCCATTTAAAAATTGTAATAGGAACCCATTATACCACAGTAACATAAATTTCAAATGCATATGAAAAATATCTTTTCTGTAAGAGCATAAAGGAGATTGACATTGCTTCAGATACTTAAAAATCCCTTCCATAACCCACCTAACACAAGTCAGACGGATTTTTCTATCAGCATCTGCACTTTATCTGTTGCCATATGACCCATAACAAACCTCTGGAAAATTAACCACACGCTCATGAGAGAATGAGAGAGAAAAAGGTAAACATCATTATGACCAAAATAACTCCCATTGGGGCGGACCTACAGAAATATCTAAAGGAAATGACCGCGTAGGAAAGCCAAGAAAAGTGGCAGGGTTAAGCAGAGTCCACAGTTGTCCAAGGGAAAAACTGCACTCAAATATAGATGAAAGCAGTGCCGATCTTGTTTGGTTCAAAGTAAAACTACTCTAAATATCCACAGATTGCCACAACGAGAACAAGAACTCTAGAGTTTGTCCCACTTCTTAAAGCCTACAGGCCTTTTCCCGCCAAGTGAGGTGGCTCTGAAAAGAGCCTTTGGTTTGCAAGGTGGTCAGGTGGTCTGGAGGCAGCTCACTGGCAGACGGTGTACCTGATGATGGCTTTGGTGGCCTCGGACTCGGCGTGCTTGCCAATCTCCCCGGGCAGCAGCAGGCGCACGGCTGTCTGGATCTCCCTGGTGGTGATGGTGGAGCACGTGGTGGAGCGGGCCAGGCGAGAGGCTTCGTCGGCGATACGCTCGAGCATGTCCTTAACGAACGAATCCAAGATGCTCACGGTCTTCTGCGAGAGGCTCAGGCCCTCGTGAACCTGCTTCAGAACCCTGGGGAAGTAGGTGGCGAAACTGCTGGGGCGGCGGCGGCGGCGGCGGCGGCGGCATTGGCGCCTTGGCTGCTCGTGCCTCAGGCTCTTCGGGTCCGCTGCTGTGGGTTCCTCCGTGCCCGGGCATTCCCCAGAAGAGGTCTCACCGCCAGGCTCAGCCATGTGGGGCTCGCCTTCCCGACAGCTCGGAAGAAGGACGATGGCGGCTGCCGAGGGGGCGCTGGCCCATTTACAGTCGCTGCACTTCCTGACGTCACGGGCAACCTCCATATCTGATTGGACAAAAGGCAACGCAGGGAAGCGGGGCTCTATGCCAGGCCGTGTCCACTGTGATGGCATACCCTCGAGCTTCACATCACATCGGACAATCGGAGAAGGAAATCTGGTGCCCTCTAAAATTGTTGGGACCTCGGGCAGAAAATCTTCCAAACTTTCCATTTCATTGTGCATTTTGTCTGCAGAGTTTCAACATCTAAAGAGTAACAGATCTTAGGAGAGTCCTGTTTTTATTGGAATACTTTATATTGCACATCATTACCTTATTTCTGATAAGCAGTAAAGTGCCATTGGGTCAGGACATGCTAGGAACCAGGATGCTCTGGAGACCCAGAGTCAATGTGTCCATCTCTTAAAATGACACGAAAGGTAAAGTGGTGGTGATGGAAACACATGATTACATAAGGAGAGAGGAAGAAAATGATGCCTGGGTTTAAACAGGCATGTGTGCCAGCAGGTAGCAGTATTGCAGCACCTGCCCTTTCTATTTAATTGCTTTGTGTGGGGCAGGGGAGCAAATTTTTTGGCAGGTTGGGAGCAGCACACAAGAAAGAGATGCATAAATTGGACCAGTCCCTTTTCATTTATCTACCCAAAGACAGTATATTAAGAAGTTACAGTTAAGAGGTGGGGGAGGATTTCAACTGGTCATGAGTAATTACACATCTCATAATAGCTCCTGGTGGTGCTAGTTTGTAAATGCTGTCAGGAAGGGCCAGCAGAATGGGATAAACCGGAGCTGAATCTTATTTCGCCATGTTTTCTGCACAAAGCGAGAGGTGAGGGTATGACATTGGGGTGGTTGTCTGTGGAACTGCTGAAATGCCTGGGGCCCTGTGATCCTTCAGGTGTGTCCACAAGAGATAACTGGAGATCCCAGAAATTCTCAAGCAGAGCTCTCATGTGCATGCCTGGCCTGCCCCGGTGGGGCAAGACCAGAGTAGTGCCCAGTAGTGCCCAGAGTAGAATGGACAGAAAGTCAAGAAGCCACGAATCCCCAGCGAGCCTCCATTCTGTCACTGTCACTGGCATTCCCTTTCTTTTTTCTTGCCAAGCAACCAGATGCTGATCTTCACAGATGGCAAAACCACTACTCACAAATATATCAGAAGAGGCCCGGGCACACAGGCCAGTTTGTCAGGACCGGTTTACTTACCTTTCCACGTCACTACTATCATTGTCAGCTGCTCAGCCTAACCCAAAAGGTGCCACTACAGGAGAGGAGAGGGAGAAGGACGAGTCCCAGAGGGCCCATTCCCTGTGTACCGCCAAGTCCTCTTCCTCCTGACAGCCTGGAACCTGCAGCTACCACAGATGGGTCCCCCTGAAGATCCTTTCCCCTCTTCTGGCTTTCCAGGCATTGTATCAACTAATCAGAGTTGGTATTAAGCTTCCTGTTGCCTCTCTCAGAAGTACTACAAAAACACGCCAGTGAGAAGAAAGGTCAACCAACAACACGTGTTCACTGATGCCCCAGCAGGGCAGCTTCGGGAAGACTTCACCAGAAGCACCAAAGATTGTAGGCTTTTCAGCTTTGGCTTACTGAGACAGTCTGACCTCCATATCCCAGGCCCCTAGTTCCAGAGGAATGACTGGCCAATTTGGGGCCATTTCTCCTACTACTCAGAATGGACTGTTGTCCTGGGCTAAGCCACCATGGCTTGGGCAGGAACTCTCGCATGGCAGCAGAGTGCTGGTGCAGATCAAGAGACATAATTGACGAGCCCCTGCCCCGATTTCTGAGCAAGACCCTCAGGAGAAATGGCAAAGACCATAGTCTCCAAACACAGCACACAAAGAGGTAGTCATACAGATAAAAACACCGGAAACGTTTTTAGTGCTTTTATCAGCATTTGCCAAGTTTCAAATTGTTTTCTTAACAGTAGTTAGGTTGTAAAAACAATACCTGCACACTAGAATTGCTAACAAATATATGTGTTGTTGGCTGGAAAACAAAACAAAACAAAACAAAACACCAATTTACCCAAATTGTCTACGAAACCACCAGAGGGACCTATATTACTCAATTCTTGTTGATCAGACATTGGATGTGGCCATCAGGGGAAGTCCCGGAGCTCGGACAAGGCAGCTCTCTGTAGTTGAGGGAGCGCCTAAAAGGGCTAATGGCTGAGGACTGCCAGCTGACTGCACTCTCAGCAGCTGAAGCAGAGTCTGTCTTTGAGGAGAGTTCTGGTTGGAACATCTTCATATCTATGATAACCTCATTATCAAATGATAGTCTGGCTACCCAGGCAACCGTAGTTTGACAGTGGTTTTCTCTCAGCACTAGCTTTTGGCTTCCATTTCTTGGTGAAAAGAGGTATGTTATCACATTATTTGGTTTTCCATTTTTTGGCGCCGTGCCCTGTTGTCTGCTATCTTGCTCTCTATGCTTATATCCTGGCTTTACTACAATGTATCCACGTGTGCTTCCTGAATCCGGGATGTCATGGCTGCCTTAAATTTGGGGAAATTACCAGACATTTGTCTTTGAATATTATTCTTCCACAATTCATCCAAGTTTCTGCTTCTGGAATGCCGCTGAGATGCACTTAATAACTACTTACCCCATTCCTTAAGACTCTTTGCCTCTCTTCCATCCCATTTTTGTCTTTATCCTTCTATGAGGCGTTCTGCCTTATTTCTTTCACCTCTCCTCTAGTTCACCCATTCTCTCTATCTGGTATGTGTCCTTTGGTGTGTAAATTTTGGTGGATCTTTTAATCTAGCAGTTACTATTTTCGAGACTAGAAAAACTTTTAAGACATTTTTGATAACGAGCCACTTCCTACTCACATTTTACATGTCTTGTAAATATTTTTCAAATATGTTACTTATTCATGTGTCAGAGGGAGAGAGGACACAAGCAGGGGGAGCGGCAGGCAGAGGGAGAAGCAGGCTCCCCGCTGAGCAGGGAGTGCGATGTGGGACTCGATCCCAGGACCCTGGGGTCATGACCGGAGCTGAAGGCAGATGCTTAAACGACGGAGCCACCCAGCAGTCCCTCCTGTAATTATTTATATGAACGTTTTAACCGTGTTTGGAAATTGGCATTTGGTAATAATACTTTGGAACTTTCCAGTTTGGTTTCTTGTTTGATTTTGAGAGGGGCGGCTTCTTTTGGGATTGTGTATTTTTGTAGGAGGACTTTAACTGCAGGAATCCTGTAAAAACCTCAATTAAGGTTACTCCTCCAGGAAGGATTAGAAGTGCATTTGCCATGTGTCTGGGTTTCTGACCAGGATCTGTGGGCCTCATGCTGGCAGTGCTAACCTGAACCCCAGAGCTACACCACGACACTCGTGTGAACGCACATTCTCAGGGAATTTTTTTTTCCCCCATTACTCAGAACTAAGGACCAGGAATAGAATTTTCCTTGGCATCTCCTTTTCCCAGTAGGAAAGAGTCCAGTTTTCTCAAAGTCTATAGTCATTCAAGCACCACATCATAGAAAGCCAAGTATGTAATGTGATGGGTCTTACTTGCTCAGGCCCAGGTAGCAAGAGGTAAACAACAACAACAACAAACTGTACATTCAAATAGCCTGAGTTCA